CAAGCTTACGCTGTTTGCTTCGTATTACCAGATAATTTTTATTAATGTGAGCAAACCATAGCATATTCTTGTGATTAAATACAGCCTTTATTCTCTTTGCTTCTCTGTACAAGGAAACCAGTTTCATAGGCCATGAAAGTAACATTTCCTGTAGGGTCAGGGTGGTTGGTAATACTTCCTCAAAAGACAGTTCCTCAACCCCCCCTCATGAGCATCTTGATGCTATTTCACCTAGCTCTGTTCTCTGTTATAAAACAAGTTAGCATCTAAGTAGCCCCACCTCCCTAAAATAAAACAAAAAATTGTGGAACAAGCATGCCATTTGCTACCATCTCACTCTTCGCTCTGCTTGTGTGTGTTCTACCCTTCCCTCCACTCTGTCTTGTCTATTTAGATTGTAAGCTCTTTGGGGTAAGGACCACCTACTTCTCTGTGTTTGAACAGTACTTGGCACAATGGGCTCTATTCTTCAACTACCATAGTAAACATGATTAATAATAATTAAGCAGAAAAAATGTCAGACACATTACATTAAGTGCTCTGCATCTTTCTCTGGTACCCTATGCATTTCCAGATCTAAATCAAAGTCCAACTCCTAACTTTAATGTCCATTTTAATGTACGTAAGGACCTGTTTCTCTTTCAATAACCCACTGAGACAGATGCACTCTGATTGGGGACCTTGTAGATATTACTGTCCAAGGTGATCTCTTAGTAACTGGAGACACAGCATTATTATCAGAACTCCTTATTAGAGGCTATCAGAATGAAACCTAGCCTGACAGGTTTCAGAGTTTGTTGCAAAACTCACCTCTATGCAAAATAATTGCTCTCATAATTGAAGAGAAACAATAAAAATTCCAAGTATAAAGGCAACTGGACCTAACTGTGAGTCTTAATATTGGCTTAGGTGCTTAGATTCTACAGAAATAGATAAATTAGAAATATAAGTGGGCTGGACTGGAAAAAATATTATACTTCAGCAAAGCAAATTTTGCAAGAATTGCAGCCACAGTCTTTATTTTTAAAGGATTGATAATGAAAGTATTGTTGCTAATTTTTGTCCAGATGGTGCCATGTCACTTAAAACAGTGAAAAAAGGGGGAAATCTTAAATTTGTGGACTAAGTTGTGCCCCAAGCAACTGGAGCATGCAAAAGAAATGTAAAGAAAGGAAAAAATTTCCTAAGTGATTTCTGATTTGGGGCACTTAGTTTCAGACATTTTTGGGGCCTAATTTTCAAAGGTTCAGACTACCCTCAGTTGCCTTCAACTGAAGTTGTGAAAAATGAGACCCAAGGTTTCTTCAGGTTGAACATCCAAAAATGGAGGCACTCAATGGTGGCCACTTCAGCGAGTGCTGGGCTAGACCAGTGAATATCTTGTGAGGGAAGTTACTTAGCAATGCACACCAATATGTGCCCAGCTTCAGAAGTAGGTTGAGCACACCCATTTCAGATAGCTCCTGTCTGCTCCTAAAGCCATGGACCAGGTTGTGATCTAACACATCAAGGTAAGACATCTGCTGAGTGCCAATCATTGGGCTAGGACAGCCCTCATTTGAAAAAAAAGATCTATCATAGTATGCTGGTTTAAAAGTGTATCCAACAGGAAACTTGTGGAATTCCTCAACTCCTTCCACCTTTCTCCAAACTCCACTCTCGTTTGTTATGTGTCAATTTGCTGTGGACATTATGCATGGTTATGTTTTTAGGCTGCATTGTGGCATAATGGTAGACATGCTACAAAATCAGCCCATTTAGCTAAAGCTGGAGTATTTCCAGTAAATTTTAATGTTGTTCTTTACTCTGCCACCAACTAACAATGGGAGCCAATAGCTCTTCGCTTTCTATTTTTAGCATGGAGTAAAGATAATATTTATGTTCCAGGAACTAAAAGTTATCTAAAAGCATATAAGCAGTGCTCAAACTGATGGAGAATTATTGAGTGCCTAAGTCTAAATCAAATAATTTAGATTTAAATATACACGTCAGGGACAGAGAAAGAATAGCAGAGAAGGAGAAATTTCTTTGTTTAAGGGATCTTGCAATTAAAGAGCCAGGAGGCCAGAGATCTTGCTATGCCATGAACTTTCTCTCTGCTCTTAGGCAAGCCACAACTTCTCAGTGCTTCAGTAATTCTATCTATTAAATGGAGAAAATCATTTTTGCTTTCCCCAGTGGTTTGGTAACAGATTTAATCTATTGAACTCTATGAAGTGCTTTGACATGCTTAGCGGGAAGAAACTACAGAAAGGCAAAATATTATCGGTAAATGTTTACCTTTTAAGCATTGTATATGGACACGACAAGAAGGTATTGTAGGCTACAGCCAGAGATGGGAGGGTGCACTTTGCCAAATTTAGGAGCCACTCCAAACTACAGGACTGAAGGTTCTACATTTAGGACCCAGTCCTGAGAAGCTTAAACATGTGAGTAATCCCATTAAACTCAATAGGATTATTCATGTATGTAAATTACATGTGCAAGGGTTTGCAGATTTAGTACCTTAAAACAGAGCTCAAAATTTCGTATATTTCGCATCCCATATAGGGAAATGCATGTTCTGGGCTGTTACGCGTTTGGTTTTATTTTACTCCTCTGGCAACACTAGAAGGATCAGAATTATTTTCAAACAAGAATGCTTATTCTGGGTATTACACAGCATTCCCATCACTTAGGATGTTTTTTCCTAATTAATTATCCCTTGACAGGAAAGGACAGTTCAGCTGAATGAGGAAAAGGGGGGATCCCAAAATTTAAATAAAAACAAAAAATCTCAGAAGCTTTGCAATATCCAAACACCACTGGATCCTTCCTCTCATATGTACTTCTCGTGCATAGTAAAATCAGGCCTGGGTGCGTTTCCTAGCTACCTTTGATCTGAAAGTCTCCTCAGAATGTTCATATGCACAATGAATACACAATACACATTTTGACAAAATATTTGGGACAAAATATCCCCAAATGTTATTCTAATAATTTGATTTTAAAATTTTATTATTACAGATCGTTGGCTGATTAATCTAGAACACTTTGTCCTGCAACTTTTCAATAAAGTTCTCAGATTTTTCAGTGAAAGGAAAGGGTTAAAGATTATTTTGAAAGAGCATCTTTTTCACAAAGTCTGAATGGACTACAGCAGTTCCCATGGGATTAGCTGCATACATTTAAATTCTTCCCACAAGACAGCTATTGTTTTCTACATGCCTCTCACTTTCATTCTGTCATGACAGGTTTCCACACTTCATTTCGACTAAAAAGCCTGTGGAGTCTGTGCTCTGTCAGATGAAGCAGCAAGCATTGACAAGTCGATTAATTTTAAGGTATTTTTTTTAAATTGATCGAATGTTTTATAAACACATTGCTCTGGTTATTGTGTGTTGGAACACGATTGACATCTGATTCTCACATTCAGTTTGGAAATTTTATTTTCATGAGACACATCTGTAAAATATATTTTCAAGAGTTATACACTGAATCTTCAGATTTGTCTCTCTGAAGGAAAGGAATTTCTACCAAAATCAAAATGATATACATTCTCCTTTGTATACTTTGGAACAAAACTTCATAATTCTTTCCAGAAACAAAACTAGCATGTGAAGCATTTCTCATATGATAATCTGAATTTCATAAACTATTATACCTTTATATTTCAGTGAATGTTTAGTTTTTAAGAGTCTGATTCTGCTTAATCCAACCCGAATTACCACTGACCTCTGTGGGAGTTTTGGCTACACAACCAAAGCAGGACATAACTGCTATAGTAAATACACAGATATAAACTTCCACTTCCAAGGGCTGATTTCACAACCCTCTTATTTCTTGACAGAAAAATATCATATATAACTCAGACTCTTAGTATATACTTGACATTTTACATACCATAAAGAATAAAAAGTCATGGGGTTTAATGCACTATGCAACATACAGCCAACTTTAATTGTGTTTTATGTGACAACACTTTATGAAACCTTATATTTTGTTAAATGTCAACAAATTATATCTTTTGGGTAAATATTTCTGAATATCTCTAATATATGAAAATATTATATTAAATATAAATTAAATTATACTTACAAGCAAAAAAATTATATTGTTTCCTACCCTTAAAGGAAACTTATTAAGTACATCATTGAACACATACCAGTACACTCATTGTCACTGTGATACTATATAATGCTGGTATTTTAAAATGTTTCTTGAATGAGATCTCAATCCCTGTGGTCATTTTTCTATAACATGGGAGTGGGATGGGGAGGGAACTCAATTTGAAACCTTACAAAAGCAAAAAAAAAAAAAATCATTTTGCCATTTATGAGAGAGTGAAAGTGGAGAGACTTACAGAATGAAGAATCCAGAGGGAGACTACTGGAATAGGCTTGTAAGAAGTCCACTAGCAAAGTGAAGGTTGAAATGTAGTAATAAAAATGAATTCAGAGTGGCTGTCCCATAGAGTCCTCTACAAAAATGATTATTGAACTAACCCTGAATTTCCTTCATGTGTCTGACAATCCAGTGGGCTTCTCTTTTAACAGGGCCAATGCCTTCTCTAGTCTGAATTTTATTCAAAGTTGCCCTAAACTAAGGCAGTAACAGTGCATTACCTTATATAAAGTGCCTGGGGGTGGGGTTGGGATAGGGAATAAAACAAAATGCAATGAATCCCGGAGTGAGAATTAAGAACATTGTAGGATTCGTGCATATGCTGCAACATATCATGCTGGGGAAACATTGCTTTCGCTCTCTATGGCATTTGAAGTAAGTTTCCAACATGCACCGTATGTATATTATTGTAATACACTTACACAAGCATAATAACTGTAGTACTTGAATCCACACAAACCAATCAACAATAACTATACAACTTCTGCTCTCTCGGAAAAACTATTTCATTATTTAATATTTAGAAATGCCATTGTACATTTGTATTGCAGTAATTATTTATTCATTGTTGAAAAATCCGACACAAATGCATATTCATTTAAGTTAATTATTCATACCTCTCAGAAGGGAAACCTCTGAAAAACATTAACAACTGAAGACAAAATAGTTGGTCTTTAGAGAAAGTCTGATAAAATCCATTACAATTGTCAGAGTCCCCATTTCAGCCCCCTCTCTCTGGTATGTGAAGCTGCTGGCTCAGTGCATAGCCTTGTCAAACCAACCGTACAGTCTATTCAGTTACCCTGGAGTTGTCATGTGGAATCAAGCAAACAAATATCTTCTTTCCATTTCCCCCAACTCTAGAATTCAAAAACAAATCAGAACTAATTTTTTGCAAAGCTTAGCTTCAGCAGCAGCCTGAGTGAAAATTCTCTGAGCTTGATATGTAATTTGAATTAGTTAAAAGGATTTATCTAACAGCCAGTGGTTACATTCAGTTAATGAATAACCTGCTTAGAGTAGGAGGAAGTTTTAGAAGTTAATATAAATTATGGGGCCTCTTGTCAGAAATCAGTGAGATATTGAACCTGCTCATTATTTTGAGGGTAGGCAAGCCAAAAGGAAGAAAAAGAAAAAGCGGAGCCTATTAAAGGAAAGATTTTGTATCAACTGGCACTGGCTGTATCACACCAATTCATCAAACTGAGATAAGCCAGACTCATTTGCCCAATTTAGACCAAACGCCAGGGCAAGTCTAACTGACGCAAACAGTAACATGTATCCAAAGCTTGGCAGTTATATTGGAGAAATCCTTTCTAAATCCAGCAGTGTTTTACACATACACTGTACATGCTTTCCTTGAATGTTAAAGCATGACTCGCTACTTTTTCTACTTCTGCTTTCCTTGGACAAGTATGTTACAGCTTCTCAGTGAATTGGCCACAACTACTGCCAAAGGCAGCTATGCACCACCATATTCTCTCTTGCATGGTCTGAAACTGAGCTCTCTTCTCAGTGTATGAAAGTCTATGGGTATAGCACCAATCAACAGCAGATTATGATCCTGAGGCTGAAGTTTTTCCAGTGACAGCAGAAGTGGCATCAAATGGAGCATCATGAAGAGAAGTAGACTATATTGGGAAACCTCTCTTCTGTGCCACAACAAAGCCAAACTTTCTGAGCCTGCCATGGGAGAATGAAGGCTATGTCCCCACAGAGGGCGAAGGTGAAGTGTTTGTACCATCTTTGTTAGAACGTTTGTTTTTTTCACAGCTACAAGAAGGACCTTTCACATGCTCTTTTTAAAAATTCATTTTATAGGACACATGCAGTTGTATATGTTCTCCATTTTTGATACTGAGTGCTGTACAGACTACCTAGCTGCTGAGCCACCCAGAGAAACCCATGCCAAAAAAACCCTTTTAATTAGAAATAGCCTTGAGATAAAAGCCATCTACTCCGTTTACTTGATTCATAAACAACTATCACTGAAGGTGAACTGAAAAGGCTTTTGATTTTTCCTGTCAAGATCTGAGGTCAGGCTTCTGTGTTTTCACTGCCATACCTGATCACTAATACTAATAGGTCAGACTGCTACATGCTTCTTCTTAAATCTCTGGGGGTTTGGCATGTGATACTAGGAAATACAAAATCTTTATGAAGGCAGACAACATCCAAAACTGAGTAGCTGTTAATGGCACTCAGAGAGCTGCAGCTGAAGATCATAATTTATCAGCAGGTAAGTAAAGGAAGAGCTGGTTTTCAACTCTTTTGTTTTAACTGTATTTAATAATCATTTTAAAGGCCACACATACGTTTTGATATTGGTTTGGGGACCTAATAAAATAGTTAGATTTATTTTCTCTCAGTCTGTTTTACCTTTAAGAGGACTTTTAAACAAATCAAATCACATTACTAGTACAATACCTAATGACTGTACACTGCTTTGACATTTTTAAATGAAAGGTGCTATGAAAGTGCCTATTACTATTAAACTGAGATACAAGTCAGCTTCATTAATCCACTTACATGAGTAGTCTTGTTGCAATATATGGCCCCAATCCTGCAAAATCTTAAGCATGTGCTTAACTTTACTCACTGACAGCAGGCTCACGGACATCACTGGGACTATGGGTAAAGGTAAATATATGTGGAAATCACTACAGGATTGGGACCCATAAGGCAGCGAAGGAAGATTTTCCAGTATCAATTCTTAAAAATAAGGTCCTAATTTCCCAAGATTTCATTTTAAGGGACCTACTTAGGATATGAAATGAAATAAAGGTGTCTTCAGAAGTGCAACTGAAAATATTAGTTTTCTTTTGTGTATGTCCTTCTGCACTCCTAAGGTAGTATTCCAGCCAACTGCAAGGACATATTTTCAAAGACTGTGCTCATTATTGCCCACTGCTCAGAATCCCCTTGCTCATTAATGCATATCCCCTCCAGTCTGTTCTCTCATTTATAGGCATTGTAAACAGCTCTGACAGCATGTTTTCCCTCGTCATTCAAACAATGGCCTTTGTAACCAAACAGAAAATTAACAAGTGAACATTTACTTTTAAAGATCCTGAGGAAAATTCCTATTTAATTTAAAAATAAAATATGATCATGTGTTCGCCAAGCCTCTGCTTTAATGCCTCACTATATAAATTATAGCTTGTTATCTTAATACCTCTGCAAAAGAGTTCAAAAATTAAAACCCAGAGGAAAAACACACAACAATTGTTTTCTAAATAAATTATGAAAAAATGTGAGGTCCCAGGAAGTAGTGTGATCTAGCTATTGAAATAGAAGAGTGGGAGTCAGGTCTCCTGGGTTCTATTCCGTGCTTTGCCATTGATTCACTGGGTCACCTTGGGCAAGTAACTGAACCTCCGTGCACCTCAGCAGTATGTTTTTAAAATGGGAACCATCGTACTTGCCTGCCACACAGGCTGTTGTAAGAATTAGTTAATGGGCTCAGTTCCTCTCCCACTGTGAGTCTGCCTTTGACTGATATTATCAGCTTCAATCTAAGCGGCATTTCCCCCAATATTTGTGACATTCTTTTCCCTCATCATCTGAAAGGAACTGTAGAAATGCAAAGTATCTTTATATTTATTTTATATTAGTCACGCATAAAAGCTGTACAGTCAGAATGTAGCTAATTACAGTCCTCAAAATATGTACACAGGTACGACCTTCTGCTTGTCTGCTATGCTACAAAACAAAAGACAAGCATTGACCACCTCCTTCCATCTATCGCCATATGTTCTTGTCATGAGGTAAAGCGCAGTAGGTGGTCCCAGTGTGAAGTGTACCTTTCGCTGCAATTAATGCAAGTGTCGTGTGCTACAGGAATATCTGATAGACTAACAAGCAAAACATGAACAATAGCAGGCAGGAGGGCACGCCAGGCAACAAAGAAAGGAACAGGGTTGTGGGGGGAAAAGAGAGAAGCATTTATGGGTGAGAGAGACAGCCATTGGAAAGAAAACTGGTGTGTACTACTGGGAAAAGTAATAGGAGTGGCCTTGGGACAATTCTGGCTAGAGGCTTCAATACCTAATCACTGTTCAGAATACCTGTCAAAAAAGATTTGCAACCCTAGCTTTATACTTTATAGCCTAGACACATTCAGATCTTAACCCTTTTGCTGCTGCTTTTCCATTGCATTTAATGTACTGATCGCTAACACAATCAGCAATGGAGAAGGTGCATTGTACCAGGCTGTATCTAGACAGGGATTCCAGTTCTGTCCTGCGCAGATCATTGTTGGTCACATGCACAGAGATATGGCTGATTACAGGGTTCTGCCTTTTCTCCTTGTTTCCAGCTGAGGGGAACAAAACAAATAAGGGAGGTGTAAGTATAGAGTGAAAGGAGACCCAATGTTAACTGTTTCAAAGGTGCTCAGTATGGTCACAGATGTGAAGGTATGTGGCTCACAAAACAATCTCTATTAAGATGTGGGAACCTGTGATATAAGCTATTTAGCAGCAGCCAAACAGCTAAAATGATTATCAGATCAGATTTTTTTTTTAACTTTTTTATTTACTCAGCAATTATTAGGGGATTGAATAGAGAAATAGGGACTTCTCCATGCTCGGTCCAAATGAGATGCTAGAATTAGACTCCATGCACAGTAGATTGTGGAGATGCTCGAAATATTATCATATGTGCACTGAGGGACTCCTCAAACTTCGCTTCCCCTTTGGCATGCTCCCCCATCTGTAGGCATCACAGCATTGGTTTAGTGTGGAATATTCTCAAGTGCCTTAGGGTATGTCTACACTGTGTGCTTCCTTTGATGGCCGTGTAGCGTACATAGTCACGTAGCCCCCTTAGCATGGGTATAAATAGCAGTGTAGACTCTGAGGCTTAGGTGTTTAAAGACGCACCTGAAGGATGTGGATATGTACTCGCATACAAACCCTACACATCTCTCTATTTGTCCAACCTGTGGCTCCCTATCTACACTGCTATTTTCAGCCGTGTAGTGTCCTGCTGCCTCCCTGCTGCTGGAGCCTTTCCCTGCTGCCGGAAAGACTCCATCAGTGAGGAAAGGCACCAGCGGTGGGAAGGCAGCAGGAAAAGGCAGCCTTTCCCCATGGCCTCCCCTCTGCCCGAGCCTTTCACTGACGTGTACCTACACACTGCAGTATAGACGCTTTTCACTGTGACATGTAGCTACATGTACACTATAAACCACCAACGCTAGTATGTGGTATAGATGTGGCATAAGTAGCTTAGGAGCACAGTTGCCATTGAAAATCAACAGGACTTGTGCTCCTAAATTACTTAGGGTCTTTTGAAAAATCTCACCCTTTCCTTCTGTTCACAGATTATCTTTGTGAACATAGGAATTAGAGACTTAATTTTTCTTAAAATAAAGAAATCAGATTCTGGAACACCATGTAATAGCATTTTCTAGAAAGATCACTAGCACATTGAACCACCAAGACCCATGTAAATATTATTCATCATAGTACATGCAACATAAAAATGAAGAGACCACAAAAAGCTACCATGTCCTTCCTTTTATTACAGGCACACTTTCCACTCAATATGCAGCAGGATTGACATTTCATAAAGGGCACGAAAGCTGTCAAATCTAATAGGATGCTTGTATCCTACTGAACTGCCATAGTCACTCACAAACAGGTAAGTTCCAGTCCAGCTCACCCTCTCTTCTTGTTAATGTTCAACTGGCTTCAACATTATTCATAAATCTTTTTGTTTGTTTTCTGTGAACATTCATTTGAGTAATTTTTTGTTCTCTTGAATGTTCATGTAAAATGAATACTTGTAAGATGTATTCACATGGCAGAAATATTTAGATGGCCATCTTGAATCTCTTTGATTTTCCTCAGACTGTTTATAAAAGTTTTAATCATCCAATCAGGGAGCAGAAGCAATACCATCTGACCTTAGGGACCAATCATATACC